GTTCCACATGCCAAGCCTGACAGCAGCCTGCTCTCCGAAGTAGGAACTCCGTGTGCTGGTACAGAGATCAAACCCATGCTGGCTGTGACCTGGGCTGCTTCACTGGGGTGAGGGCGGGGCAGGAAAGGAGCTGACCTGAATGCCCTTGATATTTGTGTCCCTGAACTATAGGCCAGAGGCTCTATCAGCACAGTCGCTGGAGCCTTGGCCTCTCACGAGGACTTTCTGATCTGAGTGCCCAGTTTGGGGTGTAACTGTAGTTCCGAAAGTGCTGTCAGAAAGACAGAGAGAGTGGCATGCCGAAAACCAGAGATAAATGGGTAACCCCCGGGTCGGAGGGACTGACTCATCCACTCCCACCTGAAGAGGGCCACACCCCCTCCAGCTCTCGTTCAGGTCACATTCTGGGCTCAAAAGGCAGCCTGCACCATTTCTGTGGTTTTCCTCACACCCTGCAACACATGTGAAACAGAGCTTTCCTACCATAGCAGCTACGGAGACAATGGTGTTTGGCCGCCTCTCGGCATTAAGTTGGGTGGCCTTGGGCAAGGCCCTAACTCCGAGCCTCGTAATGCACAGCAGCTCCTTACACTGGTGCCTACCTTACCTGTGTCACAAGTTAGCCATGAGAAAGCAAAACCAAACTCCCTGCTATCAAGTCAATTCCAACTCATAGCAACGCTTCAGGACAGGGTAGAACTGCCCCTGTGGGTTTCCGAGACGGTAACTCTTTAGGGGAGTAGAAAGCCTCATCTTTCACCAGAGGATCAGCTGGTGGTTCTGAACTGCTGACCTTGCACTTAGCAGCCCAATGTGTGACCAACTATGCCACCAGGCTTCCCAATGAGAACAACAAATCAAATTCCAAACTCACAGTCATGGAGTCAATGCTGAGTCATAGCGGCCTTCTGTGGGTTCCCAAGACTGTAGCTGCTTACGGGCGTAGAAAGCCAGTCTTTCTCCCATGTAGCTGCTGGTGGTTTTGAGCTGCCAACCATGCAGATTGCAGCCCAAGGCATAACCACTACACCACCAGGACTCTAATGAGAAGACAAAGTCCTTGGAAGAAGAAGGAAGATAACTATGCTCGGTCACATCTTTCACCTTCCTTGCTATTTTCTCAATGCTATCCTGCTCAGAGAAAGTCTTACACGCCATCGGATGCTTTCGGCTGGATGGACAGAAGCTGAGATAGTTTATTGTGCCAGCCTGGCCGATAAACACAAGTGGGACTAACTGAAGGGCGGAGAGATAAATGGCTTGGTGAGTCTCGCCTTTCTTGTCTCTCGCTCTGTGATCATCGGACCAGTGTGCGGTTGCCTTGCTTGTCCTGTGCCTCAATTTAAAGGCTACACTACCTGTGGGAAGCCTAGCCTGTGGACTGTGTCGCTGTAAGTTGAGGTCCCTTTAAGACATCGCTGGAGCTGGGGACTGGCAGTTGGTGACCTGTCTTGTGATTGGCTGCTGTGCTGACATAGCCTAGCTCTCTCTATAAATAGAGGAAGATCTGGCAGCAGATTGGACTGGAAGGACTGCTAGTGTCTCACATCTCTCTCGGGGCAGTGAGTTGAATTGAGCCATTTGTAGTGCTTTATAATTTAACGGTTTCTTTCTTGTATTATATATTTAACTGTATATGATTTAACAGTTCATTCCTTGTTATGTATCTAATTATCTTTATAAATAAATATATTAAATTATCATCAATTTGGTTTTATCTCTCTAGAGAACCCTGTCTAACACAGAAGCCATTCCAGAATACTCGGCACTGAGCGCCTCTCCTCCTGCTCTGTTGCTGACAGCCTCCCCGCCCCCCCACTCTCCCAGGCTGCCCCCACCCCTCACTCGATTAGCTGAAGGGGCTGGAAGTTCTAGCATCTCAGCCACATGCCCAAGGAGCCACTTTAAAGGTCTCCCCACTCTGACTCTCATCTCATGCTACTCATTCCTCAGAGATGACAGAGGACAAAAGGAAGCCAAATGCATCCACACTCTACCCATCTTTTCACTCCTTCCCTCCTGGTACAAAGGGACCCTCCCATCGGTAATCGGCCTCTCTGTCTAGGGTCCATGCCCTACAGCTTCCTCCAGAAACTCCTTCTACTACTTTCCATTTTCCTGCCTGGATCTTCACTCTTCCTTGCTATCAGCCCAGCACAGAAAGGGGCCCTGGCTATGGAATTTGTATCTCTATGGGGGTTGGGGGTGGGGGTGGCCAGGGGCTGGATTCTGATCCTGGGCCCAGGGGAACAAGATGCTAGGTGAGAACAAAATGGGGCAGTTGGGAGCCTTGGGGAAGGCTTCAAGGAAGGGTTCTGAAGAGGAGAGAGAAGCTGCAATGGAGTTGCTGGATGGGGCCAGACTGTCCACATAGTCAAACTTCTCCGGCAGACCTTGTCCTTCCTCTCTCCATCCCTTTGTCTGAATTTCCCCTTCTTCCCATCTTAAAGAACTCCAAAGGTGGAAGATGGCGGAGACTTCGCTAAGAGACCCGGAAACACTTACCCTCCACTTCCTCCTCCTGTTTGGCTTCTGTCTCACCTAGAGCCGTCCGGTCGCAGACTGTCGTCTTTGAGACGCTTCCTGTCCGCGTCGCCATGGTTCTCCAGAGGCTCTTCAGGTTTCCCTCTGTTGTTCGGTCAGCAGTCTCAGCCCATGTGCGGAGGAACATTGGTGTTACAGCTGTGGCATTCAAGGAACTTGATCCTATACCGAAACTTTTTGTGGACAAAATAAGAGAATACAAATCTAAGCGACAGGCATCTGGAGGACCTGTTGATGCTGGCCCAGAATATCAGCAAGAGATGGAGAAGGAGCTTTTTAAGCTCCAGCAAATGTTTGGTAAAGCAGACATGAATACGTTCCCTAGCTTCACGTTTGAAGATCCAAAATTTGAAGCCGTTGAAAAACCTCAATCCTGAAGCAATATGTAAAATCAATCTGGTAATTTGTCATGGGTTAGTTGCAGAGTTAAGCAGTAATTAATAAACATGTTTAACAATTGTCAAAAAAAAAAAAAAAAGAACTCCAAAGGTCTCGGTCAAATTTCCAGTCCCTTTAAGAAAACAAAAGTCCAGGTCCAGGTAAAGTCATTGGCAGTTGGGTAATGTAGACATCTATACTTTTTTTTAACTTTAAAATATTGTTTTGAAAACACTTTTATGGGTGTATAGTTCACGTATCAAGCAATTCAATAGTTCAATCATATAAGAAGAGTTGTGCAATCATAACCACAGTTGTAAAACACTGCTTCTCTTGTCCTCATTGCTATCAGCTCCCCATTTCCTCCCCAACCGCCCCTGCCATGCCCCCAAGGAACCATCAATCCAAGTACTGTCTCTATAGATTTACCTGTCATGGATTCCATATACAGAAAAACATACCCCCGACCCCCCCCCCCCACAGAAGCTCCAAACAAAAGACCAATAACAAAATAAAATGGAAAAACCTCAATTAAAAAGAAAGCAAAAAAATTTTAAAACTAGAACAAATTGAAGAGAGATCAAATGACAAGGTGTTACATTTTCACCTGACTGCATCTGTAACAATCCACTTGTCAATGCACTCTGCATGAGAGCAAGACTGTCCACATCCTTGGTCCAGGGTCAGAGGGTTCACCAGAGGCTTAAGCCACATATGTTTCCCCCTCACTTTTTTTTAATTGAAACAACTATAAAATGGGCCAATAGGGAGATTAAATGATAAGACATTAAATTTCAACCTAATTACTTACATGTGCCATGATCCAATTTACAATGCTCTCTTCCTAATAACAAAGATATTCGCATCCCTTGATACGGTTAGTGAGAACTCATCAGAGGCTTTACCCATGAGTGAACCCTGCAATGGATTCTGGGCTTCCACAGTCATCCATAGTCTTCTTCAAACTGGGTGCCCACAATTTACGCTAAGACATCTATAGTTTTGTTTAGCAAAGAGTAGAAAACCACTATTGCTCCTCAGAGCTGGCACTCTAATATAATCTAACAAATCCCTCCACTAGCAACAGTCAGATTCTCTAGGGCTGGCAAGCAAAGGGTCACACGCTCCATAAGCCAGGGTCCTTACCCAGAGGCCAATTATGCTTTCTCACCAGGAACTTGAATTTGATGAAAAGCATATGGTTGGAACCCAGTAACTCTGCCACAGCCTCTTGGAAGGATTCCTCATAGGTTTCTGCTTCAGGGGCCCTGGCTCGGCCTTCTTCAAGGCCTTCCTGAAACTTGGCTCTTCGGCTTTTCCTGGAACTCTGTGGGCTACTCAACATCCTTCCAATACACTCACCCCTGTTTTCGCCAGGGATGATGCTGCCACTTACCACCAGAGACCCTTAACTGGTACAGCCTTTAAATATCCAAAATGTCTTCTGAGGACCTTGAGGAAGCCACGCGACCTCTCACGCTACCGTCTAAGAATGGATACGATACGCACACCTGGGAATCATCAAGCAGATCTCCTCGTCCAATCAGTGGTTTATTGAACACGTTTGCAGTGCACCTGGGTACACCGGGCTAGGTGACACTGACAAAATAGGCTGTAAGTGGCTGAGAAAAATAAGCCTCAAATAAGTAGCAAGATCATCACAAAGGTGAGGGGTAAAGTATTGAGACAGAGAATACGGTGGGAGTTGGTGGAAGGTGAGGGTAGTGGCGGCGATCCCAATTTGGGTGCCGAACTTAGGATGGGGCCAGGCTAAGCGCAGCAACCGTTTGGGGGGCTGGGAATAAAGACTTGTGCAGGAGGTGGGAATGGGTTACTTAGAACCATGAAAACGAAAGAAATCCACGGGGTGGGGTGAGGAGTTCGTAGAGAAAAGGGTGCAAATCTTAATTGTAGATAAGGATTGAAGACTCTGCTCGTGAACAAAAGATATGTAAGAGATGATGCATAGCGTCCCTCTCTTGTCTTCCTCAAACTACATTTCCCAGAATGCTGCAGAAACGGCGGGCGACCCGGAAGTTGCTCTCAAGCACTTCCTACCCAGGTGGCCTTGGAGGATTATGGCGCCCCTTAGGTCCTCAGTGTCGCTGTGGGGCTTCCTGGCCTGTTCTCGGAGCGCTGAGTTTGTGGGGTTCCGTTCCCAAACCCGGCTCCGACCCAACGCCCTGCCGCAGCCGCGACGCGGACTCTGCGGGGCTGGACCGCCATGCCGCCGGCTCGCCTCCACGGCTGGTAAGTGACCCGCCAGATGTCAAAGGAGACTGGCATCTGCTTCTGACTGCGACGGCGCCCCGGCTCTTCCTGCTGGGCGCCCTCGGACCCTCTGCGGTGCTGCGCCGGCGTCTTTCGTTCGTTCGTTCATTCATTCAAGCTGCCAGCGGCCCCTGGGCTCGGCCGCACACCGTGCTGGAGCTGGAGGCCCCGCAGCTGCAGCCGAGACTGACACGGGCTCCTCCTGGGGGGAACTAGCTTTGTGGAAGATGCACATGGGAGGGGCACCCGCTTAGCTTGGAAGGATGGGCAGGGTCCTGGAAAGTTTGCCCCAGTGGAGATCTGGAGAAGCGTTACAATCAGAGAGAACGGCGTGGGCAGCCCTGGAAGGGAAACTGAACACAGGTAGTTTGGGAATTCATTTTGGTAGTCCGATTAAATAGACTCGCAGCCCTTGGGAAAACTGCAGAGTCCTGTCTATAAAATTGGGATAGTAAGGCTTCCTGTAAACGTCCTTGAAGATCTATGGTCAAGGAGACACTAACAGTAGCAACTATTATGATAGTCATTGCTGATGCCGTTTTAACCTCGGCCACTAGACTTGGATGCCTTCTGGGGAAAGGTTGGGACTCGCCTCATCACAGTGGATGCTCAGTATTTTTAAAAATCCATTTTAGCAGAATCTGGTGACTCCAGGATGAAGAAGCCTACATTTACGGATGAGGAAGTTCAAAGCATACTCACCAAGATGACAGGTTTGGATTTACAGAAGATTTTTAAGCCAGCTGTACAGGAACTGAAGCCCCCAACCTACAAGGTCATGACCCAGGAACAGTTGGAAGAGGTATGTGAATGCAGGGCTGTGGAAGAATACTTTCCTGGATATTTTTTTATCCAGGAAAGTATTTCCTGGAAGAATACTTTCCTGGAGGGGCTAGACAAGAGCTCCCGGACTCCTCGGTGCTCACAGCCACTCTTCCATCGGCACTAGTGGGGGAAGTTCCAGCACAGGACAGAAGAAATTTGAGAGCAGGCAGGCAGAGGGGAGATGCCAGAAATTGGTAGGCAGAGCTGTACATCCAAACAGAGCCTCCATTCTGCTTCCCAAGAAGCACGAGTATCCTGTGCCCTGCCTTTGCCAGCTTTCTCCCCAGAGGACCATCTGCTGTGAGCTCCTTTGGGGCTGGAGGGTTGGTGTGATCGTGAGAGCCTGCTAAGCAGGCACCACAGAACCCCTGTAGGTAGCCCTCAGGACGAGCGTGTGGTAGGAAATACCTTGGTCTAAGAACGTGTGAAGGATTCTTGCACATGTCTAATTCAAAGCAATTTGGAGTCATAGAAGGAAAGAAAGACTATCCAGTAGTGTCTCCTGACGAAGGAGCCCTGGTGGCACAAAGCGTAAGCACACAGCTGCTGCCTGAAAGTTAAGAGACTCATACCCACCGCAGCTCTGCAGCACGAGGTGGCAGTCGCTTCCGGAAATCATCTGGGGCAGTTTTCTGTCCTGTAGGGTCACTATGCGTCATCAGACTTCAACACTAACACCCTTTTCACTCCCACAAGTGGCCACTGTTGAGCAGATAGAAAGCGCTGGAGTTGGCGGTGGAAAGTGTGGACTCTGGGCCTGAGCTGCCTGGGTTTAAGTCCTCTGCTGTCACTGGCTAGCAATGTCCTGAGCATCTAGCTGCTTCTGCTTTTCTCCCAGGAGGCTGAGACGGCGACAACCGCACTGACTTCATATGGGCACGAAACGAGCAATGCAGTCAGTGTTTGGCACAACATGTGGCCCGGTACATCCCCAGTAAATGCAACCTTTCATGGAAAGGTTGGGAGCCTGGCTCTGGCTCAGATGTGCCCTGTCCTTGTTTGTTGACAGTTAACCCTGCAGGGCGCTCTCAGCGCCACCACTGAGGCAAAGAGTAGGGACTAGGAATCCAAGTGGGGCTCCCGGCTCCTTCTTTTGAAGTCCTTAGCATGTGTATCTGTGCTTGTCAAATGATCCTTTGGTTCTGGAACCTCGTGGCTTTCCTTACAAAATAGCTTCTTTTGATAGGCTACCAGAAAGGCCGTGGAAGCAGCTAAAATAAGATTGAAAATGCCTCCAGTTCTGGAAGAGCGCACACCGATAAATGATGTGTTAGCTGAAGATAAGATTCTGGAAGGAACAGAAGCAAACAAACACGTGTTTACAGATATATCATATAGTGTACCACACCGGGTGAGTATATGCAATAGCACGCTGATCTCTACTTGAAAGACCAGGTGAGGTGGGTCTGAGAATTGCAATTTGGCTTTCTGTGATGCTCCAAACCAGACTTGCCCATGACTGAATGAGAGCCTTGTGGATGTTATAGCGGAAGGGGAGGAGAAGGGCAGGCAGCCCAGCCCCACCCACATTGTCCTATTACTGTTTTCCTACAGAGCAGGGACACGCTGTTATTAACTGATGCAAAGAAAGGGACAGGTGTGCTAAGGGCTGCACACAGGTGTACACACACACACCAGCATCTTCGAGGCAATGGGAGTCCCACCTAAGTATCTGTTGACCTTAGTTGCCGCTTTTTGAGAGATGTGTTTCTTCCCGTGAGTTCACTGTTGATGCCTCCAGTCCCTGGACCTCCCAAAGGACTCTTGATTTCTGTTTTCCGACTTACCTCCTCTGGTTGTCAACTCCAAAATAACACTGATGTGTTAGAAATGCAATACAGTGAACCCTCGCCACTTCGCGCTTCAACTTCCGCGGCTTCACTCTATCGCGGTTTTTGCGTAACAGCGCATGCTCTGTCATTACTGCCACTGATTGGCTCATACTGTACACGCTTCTGTCTGCATCACTACGTATAGGAGCTACGTATCAGATGCATTTTTGCTTTTGTACAGTGTACTGTAATTGTTCGCGATTTTTAAGAAATGTTATCTAAGCCCTATGATGGCACCTAAACGAGCTGCTTCTTCTAAGCCTTCTGACAATAAAAATAAGCGCCAGAGGAAGATGCTCACCATCTAGGAAAAGGTAAAACTTTTGGATATAAGGAATCCTACTTCGCGGAATTTCATTTATCACGGTAGGGTCTAGAACCGATTAACCGCGATAAATGAGGGTTCACTGTACTGGTTTCCTTCTTGTTTTTCAAAGTGAAAATGGAATTTCCCATCCAGCCCCAGCCCCTGCAATAGAATACTACATCATGCTGAGCGAGGGAGAAAGACCAACCTCATATTAATCTGTCTTCCATCATACGGTTAGAAGACAATTCGAGCTGTGTTCCTGTGTGTATGCTGGCTGTTTGCACACATGACACCGTGAACACAGTTCACAGTCTGTGTCTTCATTAGAAGTTATGTTTTGGGTGCTTTACCTTATATTTTCAGTGTTTTGAAGGCTGTCAGGTCGCAATTTTTAATCCTAAAGGGAGAAAATCACTTGGAATGATTGTGTTACTTTGGCAACAGTGTGTGTGTTTTGGTTTCATCATCTGCAGTACTTGGTAAAAGTTTTAATTACAACATCCTTAGAACACATTCAGACTTGTAGACTTCTAAAAAATTAAATCATATCTTCTGGTTAAATGAAAATCATTGAATTGAGTATCATTACTTGTATGTGAAAGGCTTTGTGTAAATCACTCTGGTGCTGGAGAAAGATTTGTAACCCACAGTCGCTGCTGTTTCCTGTTGTGTTACACTCTGAGGGTCAAGGATCACGCACAGTGAACGTTGCCAGCTGAGTGGTGCAGGCAGAGCCTGTGCATTGGCAGTTGGAGGAGTGACGAGACCGGTGGTCTCTCTGACACGTTATGTCTAATGCCAATAGGAAAAGCCCAAGGGCTGTGCAGAATTAAAGCTCCATACCTAGGTGTTCCTTTTATTCCAAGAACTTAGGTAGATCATAAAGTAATAAAAACACGGTTTTGCGATGAGGATGTGGAACAATTTGAAGAGGTTTGGTAATACTGCTTTCCTCTAACGTGGATGTAGATGAGTCTTCGATCAGCCTGTCGTTGTTGCACCATTCAGTGCTGAACCTGCAGTAACAATACTCACTGCCGTGTCAATTCCAATTCAGAGTGACCCTGTAGGGCAGGGTAGAACTGCCTCTGGGTTTCCGAGACCCTAACTCTTTACAGGAGAAAAAGCTTCATCTTTCTCCCTCAGAGCAGCTGGTAGTTTCGAACTGCTTACCTTTTTAGCAGCTCCACGCATAACCACTCTATGACCAGTTGGTACGTAATAAATGCTTATCACTCTGAACTTCTGACAGTTACACATGCAGCAGTGATTAGTGTCAGAAGTATCACACCTTGCCCAGTCTTTGGGGTTCAGAATCACCATTGAAATCATTGACACATAATTGCGGTCGGTCCATTTCCCAGTTGTATTTTGTATTGTTGATTATGTTTCCTGTTCCAGGAGCGTTTTATTGTCGTCAGAGAACCGAGTGGCACACTACGCAAAGCCTCTTGGGAAGAGCGGGACCGGATGATCCAAATTTATTTCCCAAAAGAAGGTCGTAGAATTTTGACACCAATAATTTTCAAGGACGAAAATCTCCAGGTACAGAGACTGGGTTCCCCACCGAACCTGTGTTGGCGGGTGATCTGTGGGACTCGCGGTGGTGTGTGCACTTTGCTGTTCTCCTGTAATTGCAGCCCTGCTGTCTGGTTTCAGACCATGTACACACACGACCGGCATGCTGATGTCCTCAACCTCTGCGTTGCCCAGTTTGAGCCAGACTCGGCGGAGTATATC